CGAGCCCGCGCCCGCAATTATAGAATAAAGCTTCGATTGCGTTTCTGGGCGCGACTACGCCCGAACGCGCGAGATCGCGTTCCAATTGCGTTTCTGGGCGCGTCTGCACCCATCAGCACAGAATCGCGCTGGGATTGCAAAATGGGCGGGCGAGCCTGCGCCTGAACGGGGGAACCGCCGTTCGCGGGCAGCGCCGAACGCATGAGGTCGCGGCCCAAAGCAGACGCTCTCAAGCGCGCAATCACACTCCAGTTGCGCTACAGGGCGCCTGTGCCCATACGCGCGCCCTCGCTCCAATTACAACTTTTAGCGATCCCTGCGCGCGTGCGCACGGAATCGTGGCCTGATGGCTTTCCCGGACAGGCCTGCCTCCGCAAACGCGGAGTCGCGCTCGAATTGCGAATCTGGGCGCACCAGCCCCCGAATGCACGGAAACGCGCGCCGATGGCGAACCTCGGTGCGCCTGCGCCCGTTGGTGTGATGTAGCGCTCCGATTGCGCTCCTGGGCGCCGGCGCCCATGAGCGCGGGATCGCGCTCCGATTGCGTTCTCGGGCGCGCTTGCGCCCGCCAGAACGAGAACGTAATGGCGCGCCGGCACTTCCGCAGCGCCCATGCGCGCCAAACCGCGTTCCGACTGCCTTTCGGAGCGCTTGCGCTCGCAGGCGCCGTTTACCGGGCGCTGCCAGCCCGAACGCGTTCCGATTGCCACTCCGGGTGCGCCTGCGCCCCTTGGCGCGAAAACGCGGTCCGACGGCAATTCCGGGCGCGCCCGCGCATCGGCAGCGCGTGAGCAGGCGGAATCGTGCACTGATTGCGTTTCAGAGCGCGCCTGCGCCCGCAGGCGTCGCGCTCCAATAGCAAGTCCGGAAGCGCCCGCGCCTGAACGCCCGGAATTGCGCTCGCAATTCCGCTGCGCCCAGACGCGCACAATCGCGATGACGAGCCTGGCGCGCTCGCGCGCGTAAGCGTGGAATCCCGCTTCGTGCGTCCCTGGGCGCTTGCATCCGTGAGCGCGGAGTCGCGAACCGGTAATGATTCCAGGCGCTGCCAGCGCCGCAACAGAGGGCATCGCGCACTGATTGCGGCACTTGGCTCGCCTGCGCCCACAAGCGCGGAATCGCTCCAATTGCGACTCTGGACGCGCCTGTGCCTGCAAGCGAAATCGCGCCCGAATCTCTGGGCGCGCCTGCGCCCGCAAGCGCAGGAATGGGCCGTGATTACAAACTGCTTTCCGCCCTGCGGGCGACTTCCCGCCTGGCGAGCGTCTCACTTGTCTCGCCGGCGTCTCCTCGTCGTGCCGGGGCATTTTCATGAAGCATAAACTTGTTTCCGGCACAGGAAAATCATGCGGGGCAGGCCCGCTGTCGCTCACTTCCCCCCCTCTCCTCTGCTCACGCGCCTCGGTGCCTGCATGGCGGGCGTGCGGTCCTCGGCGCCGGCCCGCTTGTTCCGGAGCGGCGGAAGTATTTCTCGGCGCGGCACTGTGTCACCAGGTCGTGCGTCGCGCCTCTCGGCCCTGCTCGTCCGTGAGGCCGTGGGGTCCTGGCAAAGCGTGACCGCCGTCGTCTTCTGCTCGGCCCGGCCTTCTGACCGCGGGGACGTGGGCCAGGTTCCTTGTGAGAAGCCACGCGCAGGGTCACCGCCTTCTCGCGGGCAAACCCAGGGTCCCTGCCTTCTCGCGGGCACACCCAGAGCCCCTGCCTTCCGCGGGCAAACTCAGGCCACCGTGTTTCTCACTCTCTGGTTCTGCCTTTCGCGGGCAAGTTCAGGGCCCCTGCCTTCTCGCGGGCGCACCCGGCCTTCTCGCGGGCAAACTCGGGCCGCACCTCTCCCAGGCTCTGCTGGGTGCCGTGTGGCATGCATGCTGCGTGCAGGGTCACTTCGCCGCCCTCTCGCGGGCAAACCTAGTGGGGTCTTGCCTTCTCGTGGGCGCACCCAAAAGTCCCTGCCTTCCCGCGGGAAGCTTCATTACCTTCGGGTCGCTGCCTTCTCGCGGGCTTTACCTCGCGCGACGGCGCGTAGGCTCGCTGCCTTCTCACGGGCGGCAAACCCAGGCCTGTCGAGCTGCGCTCGCCGGCCCTTGTCGCGGGAGGATCGGGTTTCCAGGCTTCTTTCTCTCAGGTCGCCACTTCGTTCGGTTTCCAGTGGGTGCGGCGATTCCCGCGTCTCCCCTGTTCTGAGCTCCTTTCGGCGTTCTGGTGCCCAGGAGCACCCGGGCTCGCAATCTGAGCGTGACCTAGCGCTCCTGGCGTCCGCGCGCCCAGAATTGTATCCTGAGCGCCTTTCTGCGTTCTGGTTCCCAGGCGCACCCAGGTTCGCATTCTGTGTGCTTTTGGGCGTCCGCGCGCCCAGAATCGTCCGCGCGCCCAAACATTGCATCCTGAACGCCTTTCTGCGTTCTCGTGCCCGAGCGTTCCAGGTTGGCAAGCTGAGTGCAAATAAGCGCGTTTCGCAACCTGAGCGTGACTTCGCGCTCCTGGGCGTCCACGCGCTCAAAGTTGCATTCGTAGCTCCTTTCTGCGTTCTGGTGACCAGGCGCAGCCAGGTTCGCAATCTGAGCGCTTCTTGGCGCTCCTGGGCGTCCACGCCCCCAGCACTGCATTCTAAGCTCCTTTCTGCGTTCTGATTCCGCTGCCAGCGACCTCATCATGAGAGGCAGGTGTGTGGCGGTCGCCTGTGTCTGTGGCGTTCTTTGGGCCTCGCCCCGAATTTGCATTTGGGGCGTGCTTCTGCGCGTTCCCATGCAAGCGCGGCCAGTATGGTCTTGGCGCGCGCTGGCGTGCAGGCGCGCGCAAAAGCCGGACACGTCTTCGTGCGTGCTCTCAACAAAAGCCATGCGTTCTGGCACAGTGGCGCTCATTTTGGCTTCGGCGTCCGTTTCTTGCGCGGTCTCGCGTTCAAAACGCAATTGTTGATTGCGTGTGTTCCGGCACGGGCTGCGGAATGTTCCAATGTGACGCAACCGCCGAGTCGGCGCGCGCAAGGTGCAAGCGCGGTCTCATCCGAGCGGCGCGATTTCGCGTCTGTGGGCGCGCATTTCGTGACGGGCGACTCGTGGGGAATCCGCCCGTCAACGGGAAGTTGCGGCCCAAAGTGTGTTGATTGGTTCGATTCGCGTCATCGGGCGCTGGAGAGCCGGGGTCTGCGCGCCGGCTGCACATTGGTTAGGCTGCACTCCACCGCGCAGTCCGGACTGCGCGAGCCAGAGTGGCTACGGACACTCCTGGGCACTCGGGGTCGGATGTGTGCAGGCGGCAGAAGCTAGTCCTTGATGGGGTGGCATTGGCTAATCCCCCACCTGCACACAACGGGGGCAGGGGTGCTGTGCACTTGTGCAGCACGCCTGTCCTCGATCGACCCCGGGGGGCCTGCGTCCCAATCCGCGCGTAATCGGCATATCCATGCTGACGCCGTTTCACCAGCGAACTCAGAATTAAATTCTGGTGTGGCTGCTGGAAATTCGGCGGCGGAGATTGCAACTGGACGGATTTCCCATGGGAACTCGCCCCATCGGAGTTTGGAAGATTTTCGGCCCCAGCCGGAGAATCACGCTGGCAGAAACAGGGTGCCGAATTAGCGTGGGGTCGCAGTCGAGCTGTGCGCGCACGCCCTCTAGCGCGTCGCCTTGACGGCGTTGCCCGCCAAGGCGGCGCGCCCCGTCACATAAAGGATGTGGTCGCCCAGGCCACCCATCAGGAAACAAATTTTAATCGCCCCTAAATCGTGCAACGGTTTGGGGGGCAGGAAAATCTCCAGGAGGACTCGAGTGGTCTCCTCGCTTCCTGGCCTCGGTGGCCTCAGTGGAATCGCATTCGTTCGCTGCCTGGCAGTGCCCCCGTGGCGCGGCGGATCGTTGTGCTGACAGCCCGTGGCCGCGTGCGGCTGCTGGATTTGGGCGCGGAGATGCTGCGCCGCTTGCTCCTCTCCTTCCTCCAGGCGCGAGTGCGCGAGGATAACCGCGCCTTCTGCTGGCGGCGCGGGGTTGCGGCTCGTGCTCCTCGTCGCCGCTGCCCTTCCTCGTCGCCTTCCTGGCTCCCGTCCGGGCATTCTGGCGGGCGCTGCCGGGGGCTCCTCGCCACTGCGTCCCCTCGTCGCCACGGGCCCTCCTCGTCGCCACCGCCTCCTGGCGCTCCTGGGTTCTCGCTCCGGCTATGTGCTTCGCGCAGGTCGGGCAGCACATGGTTTTCGTTCCCGCAGGTCGGGAAGTGCATCCGCAGGTCGGGCAGTGCGTTTTCGTTCCCGCAGGTCGGGAAGTGCACCCGCAGGTCGGGCAGCACCGTTTCCAGTCCCGCAGGTCGGGGTGTGCACCCGCAGGTCGGGCGGCACCGTTTTCGGTCCCGCAGGTCGGGGGGTGCACCCGCAGGTCGGGCAGCACTTTCGGCCCCGCAGGTCGGGAAGTGCACCCGCAGGTCGGGCACCACCTTTTCCAGTCCCGCAGGTCGGGGAATGCACCCGCAGGTCGGGCAGCGTCGTCTCGGTTCCGCGGGCTGGGGGGCCCGGGCGGGCAGTGTTCGCTCCCGCAGCTCGGGAAAGCACCGCATGTCGGGCAGCAGCGTTCGTGCCCAGGTCGGGAGGTGCACCCGCAGGTCGATCGGCGCCGTGTTCTGTTTGGAGTGGGTCCAGGCCGTCAGTTTGGGGCGCACCCGCAGGTCGGGCTGTTTTGCGGTTGGTCCTGCAGGGGCGCCAGGTCGGCGGCAGTCTTCCGTGGGGTGGCCCTGGCGGCCCGGCCGGCTCTTGTGGTTGGCCGTGGCCTGTGGCGCGGGCGCTCTGCGGGGCTGCTCGGGTGGTCCCGTGGTCTCTCGTGGCGTCGTTTCTTGTTGCTTGTGGGTTGGGCTTTCCGTTCGCGGCTTCGTCCTGGCCAGCGCTGCGCCCGGGCCTGCTGCAGCCGCAGTCTTCTGGCTCGAGCTTTTCCGGCGCTTCCACCTGCTCATTTCGCCCTGGTACTGGCCAGCACCCACCCGCAGCTGAGCATCGCGCCATGTCCTTCGGCGCCGCAGAGGTCGAGGCTTTCGTGGGGGACCTCCCGCAGGGCGCCCTGTGTGGCGCGGAGGTTGCTGCCCAGGTCAAGTGGTGCGAGTTCTTGCTCAGTGTGGACGAGTCGCCTAAGGCTCACCACGACCTCTTCTGGCACTTCTCCGTCTGGAGGCTCCTGGCGGAGAAGCTTGGCACGCTTTCGCAGCTCGACATTGGCGATTCGTGCATGCGCGAGATCATCGGGACCACTGTCAGGCACGGCGAGAAACCTTACACTTTGGAGGCAGAGACCTCCGTCTTCCAGGCGTGGGTTGTCCAGCTGGCGCAGGTCGCCTTTGCCTACAGGGTCCAGTGCAAGTGCGCCACTGTCGTGCCTCAAGCTCCGACGCCTGAAAGCACCCCGGCGGGCACGATGAATGCTTACCTTGAGGCGCAGGCAGCGAGCCACAAGCGCTCCGTGAAGGCGCTGTCCTTCAACCTCGCAGCCAGGCTCACCGAGCTGGGGATGGACAGGTTCCCCCAGGACGTCCTGCCCTCACAGGAGAACTTGGCTGTCTTTGGGCGGCAGGGCGCATCGCCAGAGAGAAAGGGCGCCTGTATGTAGGCAGCGCCGACGGCGAAGATCTTCAGAAGAACTTCCGCCCAGCGTGGTCGAGGATTCCTCGCATCGACGTGCCCGTGGGCGACGGGCCGATGCCAGACCGCCAGCGGCAAATGGCCGAGCTGAAGCGGGTCAGGGCTACCTCGGAGCTGGACTATCCTGGGTACGCCATATTCCACGCCCACATGGATTGGGGCCTGAAGCTCATTCTGATGAAGACCGCTACCCCCCTCGAGGTTCTCGGCTACTCGATGCTGCTCAGCAGGGTCGCTGAGGAGGAGGGCGGCGTGCGCACAGCTTACCAATATGATGTCATGGCTCGCCTGGCGATGGCGAAGGCCCTGGAGCGTGGCGACCCCGATTGGAACCTGCATTTCACGAAAGTCGACGCCGATCTCGCCAAGCAGGCGAGGAGCAAGGTGGAAACCAGGGCGGCCAAAGCAGCCAGGGCGCTGGCAGGTAAGGGCGCGGGCAAGGGCAAGCACGGCAAGGGCGACGCCTTTGGCGCGAAGGGCAGCGAGCGCAGCTCGGGCAGCGCTGCAGCGAGGCCGCCGCCACGGTCGCTCTCGCCAGCTGTGCCGCCGCGGTCCCGCAGCCCCTGGCGCAACCAGGGCGGCTGGCACCAGGGCAACGACCAGGGCAGCTGGAAGCAGAAAGGCTGGCAGCAGGGCAGGAAGTGAGCGGCTCCAAGCCGCAGTGCGAGCCCAGGAGGCTCCAGCGTCGATTCTCCCCATTTTGATGCGAATCTGGCGCAGTTGGCAGTCGCGACAGCAGTGGCGATGCCCGTTTTTGTTCGCGAACGCTTCGCCACGAATATCCCGAGTCCCCTGGTGTGGCCAGGCTTAAGGATCTTGTACATAGCTTTCTGCAGGACCCAGTGGCTTCCAGTTTAATTCCGCTCGATCATTTAGGTTGGGCGCTCAGTTTGTCTGCGTGCAGTGGTTTCCCCGTGGTGCCCGGGGCCGTCGCTGCGCCGCTGGCTCGCTCCCTGGCTCTAGACGGGCCCGCCCTGGCCCACGTTCGGGCGGACAGTCTCGCGCACTGGCGTGAGCGCAAGCGTGTGCTGGACCCGCTGTGGGCGCGCAAGTTCGGGGCGCTGCCCTCGCACGTCCAGGGCGTCCTGGGTCCGAAGAAAAATTTGCTTGTGCTTGGCGAGATGCTTGAGGCGATTGGCTGGCCTGACACGCGTCTCGTAGCTGATCTGAGGAATGAATGGGTTTCCGCTGCTCGGCGAGATTCCCCGCAGCGGTGCCCTGCCTGCCCTCCCGTTTTTGCAGTGCCCGGAAACTGCCGCGAGCTTGCGTGCGCAAGCCGCTTCTTTAAGCGAAGCCACGCTCCGCCGAGTTCGGCGTCAGACGGATCTGGAGGATTCAGTCCGAGCGGCTTTTGAGAGCAAGTGCGCAAAAGAGGTTCGCGACGGGCATGCGAGGTGGCGTTCCTTGTCAGGCAATTGCGTCCTCACTGCTAGGTTCCCGGCCGACGAAGGCTGGAAAGGGAATTCGCGCCGGGTGCGCTGCATTGACGACTTTTCGGCATCTCGTATAAATGCCGCAGTGTCGGTTGGAGAGTCCATCCAGCACGAGACTGTCGATCGTTTCGTGGCGATGCTTCGCGACGTCATGTCGTCAGGTTGTGACGGAGTCGCGCTTCGCAAAGAAGACTTTGTAGCAGCGTTCAAGACGTTGCCCTTGGCGAGCTCGCACTTGCCGTTTGCAGTCGTCTCCTGGGATTCGGCTGAGTCCCAGGGGCAGGGGCTGCAACTTCTCGCGTGCCCGTTTGGGGCCGTCGCGTTGGTCTACAACTGGGAGCGCTTCTGTGCAGCAGTCAGGTCCATTCTGGCTGAGCTTTTCCTGGTAGTTTTTCTGCGGTTCGTGGATGATCTGTTTGGCGCGGATCGGGTCGTTGAAGGCGCTCCGTTCTTGGCTACGCCAGCGAAGTTGCACGCGAGGTGGTAGAAGATTTACTTGGATGGGAACTTGATGCCACGAAGCGGGTATCTGGTTCAGCGAAAGCTCCCATTTTGGGAGTGGAGGTCGAAATCGACTTCGCCGGTGGAGCCGTACATTTGGAGATTGGCTCGGCCAAGATCGCGCAATGGAGAGCGCAAATCTGCGCCATTCTGGAGCGCAGCGCGCTGCACCCTGCCGAAGCGAAAAAGCTTGCGGGGAGGCTGAGCTGGGGCGCTTCTGCTGTTTACGGCCGCGCGGCAAGGGTGCATCTGGCGCCGCTTTTCAAGCAGGCGTCTGGAGCGTCCTCGGCTTTGTCAGGCCGTTTGGCGCGCTCCCTCCGCTGGTGGCTGCGGTTTCTCCACTCTGTGCCGCGGCGCACAGTGTTGTCCGCGGAGCCTGCCGAGCGGCGCCGGCGCATTGTATATTCTGACGCCACGGGCAAAGGCAGGTTGGCATGGGCCATCTGTTTGCCAGAGCGGCGGGTCTGGTCTGCCTCCGTGGTGCCCCGTGCAGTATGGCGTTGGGCGCTCTACCGGAAAAACCAGGTAGCAACCTGGGAGCTAATGGCGGCCATTTGCGCGCTCCACTGGCTGCTCAGCCAAGAGGCCGGGGATCGTCTAGAGGTCTTGTTGTTTGTAGATAATCAAGCGGCCCTCGGCACTCTTTTGCGCGGCTCCTCAGGCAATCCGATTGGAATGACTTAATTGGAGACTTCTGGCTGCGCGCCGCGTGCGCTGCAGTTCTGTTGCACGGTTTTTATGTGCCCAGTCATTTGGATTTGGCTGATGCGCCTACGAGGCCACACGAGAAGGCAGCAACGCTGGAAGCGATGCAATCAGCCGGCTTCATCCAAGTGCCATGGGGCCAGCCGCCAGACGCCCCGTGGCTTTGAGCAGATTGGGTAAGTGCTGCGAGAAAAATGCGCTGCATCGTCGTGGTCATACGCATGGTTGGCACGTTGGCGTCAGGTGACCACGTTGTCGGCCCTGCAGTTCTCGGTGCCTTTGGAAGCCGAGGGCGGTTGCGAGTCGGGGCCGTGCTTCAGGCAGTGAGTGCTTGGAAGCGCAGCGCTGTTCACGCAGTTGTCCGTAGCACATGGCTCAGGCAAAGGGCTGGCGTTGCATTTGCACGTTTTCATGTTGCATTTCCTGGAGCAGAGCCGGGCGCGTGCAGCGGCGTCAACAGGTGCAGATGCGCTTTCGCTGGCCGCGCCGATCGTGGAGGCGGTGCTGGAGCAGTTTGCGACAGCCCCGCTCTCCGAGCCCTTGGCCAGCTTTGTGCGGCAAGTGGCTGCGGTAGCACCGCCAGGGCCTGCAGTCGAGTCTTTATGTTCGGATTTGGCAGCTGCTGGTGCTGTCCGGGCCGAGGACTTCTGCGGCCTCGGCCTGGCTGAAGTTCAGCAAATTTGGGTTCCCCTCGATGGGTGTGCGCACCCATTCCTCCGGAGGTTTCTGCAGGTGTGTGAGGCAGAACGGCAGCGGAGTCAGCGGTCGGCGTCTTTTGCTGCTGCAAGTGGCGCCCAGCCGAGCCAGGCGGCGGGCGGCAGTCCGCAGGAGCTCGGATTAGAACGCAGGCCTGGTCCAGGAGCCGCGCAGAGGGGGATGGCTGCTCTGGCGCTGGTTGCGGACGCGCGGCGCCGACAGCAAGTGATTGAGCCCAAAGCGCTGGCTGGTGCAATCAGGATTTGGCAAGGCTGCCGGAGTGGCCATTCGAGGATGCCAGGGTGCTGCCACGCGCTGCTGCGAAACGAGCACGCGCCGCTGCCACAGATCTCGCAGGGTTCGAGATTCGCGCCGTCTGGCTCGAATTCTGTGGGTGGCGCAGGAGCGCTCTGCAGTATGCCAGCGCGGTGGAGCTCTGGGGTGAAGCTGCTGCTGTCAGCGGTGAAGCGCCATGGCCGCCCAAGTACTCTACACTGTGCGTGTTTTGCGCGCTGTTTCGCAGCAGTAATTCGCTCGGGCGCCACTCGTCGCATTTGCGGTCAGTGCTCCATCTGCTGCGGGCTCCGGCCGGCGAGCTTGGGGACACGTCGAAGCTTGTGCGTGGCGCGGACAAAGCTGGGATGGGCCACCAGCGGCCCAGAGTTTGGGCGTCTGTGTCTCAGACCCGCGCTTTGGTAGAGTGGGTGTCGCAGGCAGGGCGTCACGATATTGGTCTATCGTGGGTAGTTTCGCGCCACTTCTGTCTGCGGTATTCGTCTGAGACGCTGCTCCTGGGCTCGAGCAAGGCGCCTTTTCGCTTCGTTGGGAGTGGCCCAAATTTTCGATGCGTCATTACCTTCGTCGAGAGAAAGTGCCACCGCGCACCCGTGGAGGTTGTGAGAAAGTGCGCGTGCTCAGATGTGAAGCAGCTGCTTTGCAGGGTGTGCGGCTTGAAGGAAGCTGCGGCTGCAGAGTCTGTGCCATTCGGTCACGTGGCATATTCCGACGCACTGGCGTACCTCAAGGCTGGCGCCTTGGCGCTTGGATTCCAGGACTCGGAGAACTGGGGTACGCATGCTTTTCGCCGTGGGTTTGCGGATGACGCTCTCCGAGCAGGCGGTGTGTCCGCGTTGTTTTGGTCTGGTGGATGGAGGGGGCTCGCTGCCTTCGGCTATGCAACGGCACAGTCGCGTGGAGAGATGGCCGCTGCGCAGTGGCTGGTGGAGCAGTCTCAGTCCAGCGGGGGCGAGCGCAACTAGGCACGCTCGCATGCAGTGGGCGCGCGCCGGTAAAACAGCGGTTCCGAGGCGCGCCTTTGCCCTGTGGACATCGCCTGTCGGCTTGGCCGCCAGTGCCCTCCTGGATGCAGTGGGCCATTGGAGAAGTCCAGTCGGGCCCTGCCTGGCGGCGCCGGTTGTCTCTCCGCCCAGCGCGGGCGCGGGGGCGCCGACCCGCGCGTTTTGAGCGTGGCCGCGCGCAGAGATTTTCATCGCCCCTAAATCGTGCAACGGTTTGGGGGGCAGGAAAATCTCCAGGAGGACTCGAGTGGTCTCCTCGCTTCCTGGCCTCGGTGGCCTCAGTGGAATCGCATTCGTTCGCTGCCTGGCAGTGCCCCCGTGGCGCGGCGGATCGTTGTGCTTACAGCCCGTGGCCGCGTGCGGCTGGTGGATTTGGGCGCGGGGATGCTGCGCCGCTTGCTCTTCTCCTTCCTCTGGGCGCGAGTGCGCGAGGATAACCGCGCCTTCTGCTGGCGGCGCGGGGTTGCGGCTCGTGCTCCTCGTCGCCGCTGCCCTTCCTCGTCGCCTTCCTGGCTCCCGTCCGTGCATTCTGGCGGGCGCTGCCGGGGGCTCCTCGCCACTGCGCCCCCTCGTCGCCACGGGCCCTCCTCGTCGCCACCGCCTCCTGGCGCTCCTGGGTTCTCGCTCCCACGCGGCGCAGGCTGCTTTGCAACCCGCCCACTGCCACCCTGTTGCTTTTCTTGGCGCTGGAGCGGGGTCGGCGTCCCTGCCAGGCGGGGCCACTGGAGGAGTCCAGTCGGGCCCTGCCTGGCGGCGCCGGTTGTCTCTCCGCCCAACGCGGGCGCGGGGATGCCGACCCGCGCGTTTTGAGCGTGGCCGCACGCAGAGATTTTCCAATCCGTTTGGCGACGGATTCGCCTGCTCCGCGGCGACGGACGGCATTCTGTCGCGGAGGGCGAGCGTAAGCCCCTTCGCGCCGCGTCCAGGTGGACGCGCTCGCCCCAAAGATGGGCGCTCACTCATCCATCTCATCATTCAGATCTGCTCTGTCTCTTCAGGCGGCGGCGGCGACAGAGTTGAATTGCGTCGGCGGCGCGGTGGCGTCAGGGAAATCCTATCTCTGACGGAAGCCCAGCACTGTCCAGCTGCAGGGAGCCAGCGCAGCAAGGCATGTTCTCCACCGGGGCAGCATCGCGCGCAGCGCTCGGCAGGCGCGCCTATGACGCCCTCCGGAGGCCTGGGTGGTGCACTCAGGCTGTGGAGGGGGATAGGCATCGCATCAGCGCTGGCTACATTTTTGCCCCGCGGTGCAGACCGCGCATTAGCAGGTTGCTGTCTCATGTCTCGAGCGTTCTGCCGCACTGGCTCAGACGACCACACCTCGAGCAATCTGCCCTCTCAGTTCAGACCTTGCCCAGCCTCTCACAGGTTGCTGTCGCAATGGCCTTCTCGTCCAGCGATGTTGCCGCGATGATCGCCTCAGCTCCCCGCGGCGCCTTCAATGGTGCCAGTGCAGAGCAGGTGCGTGGCTGGGTCGATTTCGTCATCAATGTCGACGCAATGCCTGCGACGAAGCACGATCTGTTCTATTACGTGTCCATTGCGCGTCTTTTGGCGGAGACAGCAGGTAGCATTTCCCCGGCAGAGTTCGAAGACCCTCACATGAGGGAAATGATCAAGGCATCCATCCCCGTCAATTCCACCCCGTATGCCAGTGAAGATGGTGAGAAGTGGCGGGCGTGGAAGATCGTGCCCGCGCAGGTTGAGTTTGCGTTGAAGATACAGGGAAAGTGCGCGCAGTTGGCAGCACCCGCGCCGTCGGCGCCAGTGCAGGTAGTCCACGCGCCGAACGAGTTCACTGGCATGGCTGAAGCAGTCAAACAGTTCGCAGAACTGCAGTCTCAGGTGTTGCAGAAAGGGGGAGTTTCAAACTGCAGGATCGCAAACTAGAGCTGGGATTGCAGAACTTCTCTACCGACGCGCTCCCGTCAGAAGAGGTCCTCGCCAAATTCGAAGCTGCAGCGAAAGTGGCGCACGACAAGGGTCGGACGTGGATCGGATCAGCTGACGGCGAAGATCTTCGTGATCATCACCGGCCCGCCTGGAGCCGCACTCCAGCGATCGACGCTGTCATTGGAGATGGCTCTTACGAGGATCGGGTCAAGCAGAGCGCGGCCGCCAAAAGGAGCGGCGCGTGGGTGGAAAAGGTTGATTACATCGGTTTCGCCACCTTCATGGGGCACCTGCACGAGTGGGGCTTCAAGGTGATTCTGACCAAAGCATGCAGCGCGGCAGATTTCCTCGCTTATGCCCACAGCATCATCCGTATTGCGGAGGAGCACGGAGGAGTCCGAACTGCCTACCAATATGACGTACTCCAACGGAGGGCTATGGCCAGGGCTTTGGAAAGAGACGAGGTGGATTTGACGCCGTACTTCACCAAGATCGACCGCGACGTCCTGAAAGACGCGGAGGACAAGGTGGAGAAACATTTTGCAGAGATCGCCCGGGCCTCAGCCCCCAAGGGCCAGCCCAAGGGCCAGCCCAAGGGATCGCAGAAAGGCTTCGACGATAACGCCGCGTCCTCCAGCAACAAGGGCGGCAAGGGTGGCAAAAAGAACAGGGATGGTGCGGACGTCTCTGACCGGCGTGTCAAATCTCCGACCAAACGCCCGAGGGGCAGCACTGACAGCGGGCAGCAGACCAGATCTCGGAGCCCTCGCGCTGCCAGCCAGCAGTGCAACTCCTGGGGGAACAAGTGGTGAGTGGTTCCAGAACCACTCGCTGATGGCGTAGACTCAGACAGCGAGTCTCAGGGGGATGCCTGTGCTCCTCCACGTACCTGTACAAGTGCACGGGCGCCCCAGAGTGCCCCCTTGAGCGAGATCCAGAAGGCCTTCTCTCAGTTTAACAACCGCGAAGATTTGCGCCGCCTCGGTCCGTGCGACCACTTGCAATGGGCGCTTTGCTTGCCCGCGGTCGACGAAACGTCGCCTGTGCCAGCAGTTTTGAGCGACCACTTTCCGCGAGTGGCTTCCATGCCGATTGCGGAACTGCAGACTGCGCGGCAGTCGGCTCTTGCTTTCTGTCTGGCAGCAGCGGAAGCTGGTGACCGACCCACAGTGGGAAACTATGTTTAAAAGTTTGCCCGCACACTGTCAGAGTGTGCTGGGGCCAGGGAAGAACCTTCTGCTGCTGCAGGAAATGCTCGAGGCCATGCGCTGGCCAGACGCCGCGCTGATACGCAATATCTGCCACGGTTTCCCGTTGGTGGGGCGATTGCCTGCCGGCGGCATCCACAAATTTGCAGCCGCGTCTTTGGAACCAGCCGAGACATTGCAGTCACTTTTAAGCTGTCCGCGTGGACGGAATGAGGCTATCCTGAGCAGAATCGCCGCGGAAAAGAACGGCGACGCCAGGGTTCGCGCTCAATTTTTGCAAACCTGCGCAAAGGAAGTTGATGAAGGCAAGGCCCGTCTTCGAGCCTTGAACATGGACACTTGTGTTTTAACGGCCCGTTTCCCGATCGTCCAGGGGGCGAAAGACGGTGCGCCCAAAATTCGCTGCATGGATGACGTCACCGCCTCTTTAGTGAATCGCGCGGTTGTACATAGCGAGAGGACTGCCCCAGACACACTTGACTCTTTGGTAACACTCGTGCGCCACGCATCCGCTGGCCATTCTCGTGTCGCCATGCGGTGGAGAAAAGACGATTTCAGGCATGCTTTCAAGACTCTGCCAATTTGTAGCAGCCATCTGCCTCTGGCAGTGACGGCGTGGCCAGAAGCAGCCGCTGAGGGCCACGCGATGCAATTGCTTTGCTTGCCGTTTGGCTCTTCCGCCTCTGTGTCTGGATGGGGCCGCTTCGGCTTGGCAGTGCAGGGCGTCCTCGCTGCGTTGTTTCACTTGTTGTATTTGCGTTTTGTCGACGACATGTTCGCAGGCGATTCCGCCGCAGGCGTGCCTGCGGACGATGAAGATTCACTTGTTGGCCCACAGGGGTCAGCTCGACTAGCCAGGACTGTAGTTTCGGAGTTGCTGGGCTGGGAACTGGACGCCGGCAAAGCTGTCACCGATGCCACCAGTGCAACCATTTTGGGCGTGAGCGTCCATTTTTGACGACGCAAGGCAACTCATCAGTTTTTCCTTCGAACCTGACAGACTGGAAAAGTGGTCGGCGGAAATTCGGGCAGCATTGCGACATCGTTCGCTCTCTCCTTCGCGCGCCTTGAAACTGGCCGGTAAGTTGAGCTGGGGTGCAACAGCTAGGGCGCGCGCGTGTACCTGGCAGCCATTTTCCGCCATGGTTCGATGAACCACGGCCGGCTGTCCGAGCGCACGAGGTTATGCTTGCAGTGGTGGCTGCGCTTCTTACAGAAGCCGCCCGCCCGTAGCGTGCCAGTGGTGCGATCTCACAGAAAGCGTTGCGTCGTGTACACCGACGCCACAGGCCAGGGGCGCATGGCATGGGTCATCCATGCTCCAGGTTTGAAGGCGTGGGCCGCCGCCGCAGTCCCAACGGCAGCGAAGAAATGGGCTTTCCACAGGAAAAACCAGATCGGCACCTGGGAACTCATGGCGGCGATTTGCGCGCTCAAGTATTTAGTGCAGCGCTTGCCCGGTGATTTGGAGATCATAGCGTTCGTCGACAACACGAGCGCTTTGGGCGCACTTTTACGGGGCTGTTCCAGGCAAGCGGACTGGAACGAGCTCATCGGCGAGCTATGGTTCTCCGTCGCGCAACGTGGCCATTTCTTGCACCTTTGGCACGTGCCATCGCATTTAAACCTTGCCGACGCGCCCGCGCGGCCGGACGCAAAATCAGAGCAGCTGCGTAGGTTGGCCGCCGAAGGTTTCGAGGAAACGGAGTGGTTGTTCCCAGCCGACGTGCCCTGGCGGGACTGAGCTGCACGGCCAGGGCGACGCACGAGGAAAAAAAAACACATCGTCATCCATCTGCCATCTCATCAGGCCAGACACTCGCTGCGGTTGCTCCCGGAGCCGTGGTCCAAGAGTCTGGCTTTAAGTTTCATCGACAAAAGCCGGGCGGCGAGATTTTCGCCAGCGCAGTCGCGCAGCGATGGCGCTGTCACGTCTCCTTTGGCAGCTGTCGTGCGCGCCTTGGCGGAGCAGGAGGCCCCAGGCACAGACGTCGCCAACCTACTTGCAGTGCTGGCGGAGTCGGGCTTCGTGCACCCGTCCGATTTGAGCGACGTGAACGCAGCCGACTTAACGGAGCTTGTCCCGGCTATTGCTTCACTCAGCGGAGGCTCCGTGCACGCCCTGCTTTCGCACTGCCGGGCCGAGACCGGCCGCGAGCAGGCAGCCCGAGCACGCCAGCAAACCAGTACCGACGAGGTTGGATATACAATGCCTTTGGCTGCCGGCGCTGCGCAAGCGACGGCAGCCGCGTCCGATAGTCGCAGAGCTGGCGCTTGCGGCGGCGGCCGGTTGGAGCAGGGCCACAGGGCGCACGATGCAGACAGCGGCCGTGCAGCTCTGATATTGCTTGGAGAGGCCAGGCGCGCCCAGTCTGCTCCTCCGCCCGCTCTGCTGGCGGCGGCATTGGCGGCCGCGGCCCGCAGCAGCTGCTTTCCAGGAGCGGCGCCTGCAGGGCGGCCGCGAGACGAAGCGAGTTCGGCGTGAACACGATGGCGAGCACCTCAACTTGCATACCTTGTGGGTCGAGTTCGCAGGGTGGCGGAGAAGCGCGCCCCAGTACGCTTCCGCTGCGCGCTTGTGGGGCGAAGCGGCCGCGTCGATCGAGGCGCCGAGTTGGCCGCCATCTGAGCAGGTTCTCGACGCCTTCGTTGCCCTGTTTCGCAACGGCAACACTTTGCAGAGATACTTGTCTCACGTGCGCAGCGTGTTGTGTTTGCTGCGCGCCCCGCTTGGCGCGATCGCAGATACGCGGCGATTGTCCAGGGGGGCCGAAAAGATCACCAGGGATGCGTTCCGCAAGTGGTGCACTGAGGCAGGTTACTCGCTACTCGCAGCATCGTGGGCGATCGCTCGCCAGTTTTGTCTCCGGTACTCCGAAGTTTTAAGCTTGGGTACCACCGCTGTGGCGTTTCGTTTCACTGACGATGTGCGCAGGACGTGTGTCATTCGTTTTGCCCATCGCAAGTCGTGCAACGAGCCCTGCGAGACAACGAGGCGGTGCATTTGCCACCAGCAGGGCCGCCTCCTCTGCGGCGTCTGCGCGCTGTTTTCGGTGGGAGAAGCGGAGGCTGCTCCTTCCTCAGGGGTACAATATGCAGACGCACTCGCCGTGCTCAAATTGGCAGCAGCCGCACTGCAGTTGCGCAGCGCGCCCGCTTGGGGTACTCACGCCTTCAGGCGGGGCTTCGCAGACGAGGCCCTCCAACAAGGAGGGCCCGCAGCATTGTTTTTCAGTGGCGGCTGGAGGGGCTTGGCTGCTTTTGGCTATGCCAGCGCCCAGACCCGGGGGGCTATCGCTACTGCTGAGTGGCTGGTGGACCATTCCGATTCCAGCGACGGCGAGCAGGACTGAGTTTGGCATCGTGTGCGTTGGGATGCAAAAAAAGAGAGGCACAAATCACGATGTCTCGCTCTCAGGTGCTGCTGCGCAGGCCGTCGCCCCCTGGTGCATGCGGGAGTCTCGGGGCGAGGTCCAGGAGGCTCCAGCCAGGCAGCGCTTTTCCCACGCCCCTTGTTGGCGCAAGGGCGCCGGCTTCGAGCCCGCCTGAAGTTCTGCGAAGGCTCCGCGGAAGGGCCCTGGCCTTCGGTAGCCATTCAGTAAAGCGGGCCGGGCAACCAGAAATGATTTTCATGAAGCGTAAACTTGTTTCCGGCACAGGAAAATCAGGCGGGGCAGGCCCGCTGTCGCTCACCTCCCCCCCTCTCCTCTGCTCACGCGCCTCGGTGCCTGCATGGCGGGCGTGCGGTCCTCGGCGCCGGCCCGCTTGTTCCGGAGCGGCGGAAGTATTTCTCGGCGCGGCACCTGTGTCACCAGGTCGTGCGTCGCGCCTCTCGGCCCTGCTCGTCCGTGAGGCCGCGGGGTCCTGGCAAAGCGTGACCGCGGTCGTCTTCTGCTCGGCCCGGCCTTCTGACCGCGGGGACGTGTGGGCCGGGTTCCTTGTGAGAAGCCACGCGCAGGGTCACTGCCTTCTCGCGGGCAAACCCAGGGTCCCTGCCTTCTCGCGGGCACGGGCAAGTTCAGGGTCCCTGCCTTCTCGCGGGCACACCCGGAGTCCCTGCCTTCTCGCGGGCGAACTCGGGCCGCACTTCTCCCGGGCTCTGCTGGGTTCCGTGTGGCATGCTGCGTGCAGGGTCACTTCGCCGCCCTCTCGCGGGCAAACCTAGTGGGGTCTTGCCTTCTCGCGGGCGCACCCAAAAGTCCCTGCCTTCCCGCGGGGAGCTTTATTACTTTCGGGTCGCTGCCTTCTCGCGGGCTTTACCTCGCGCGACGGCGCGTAGGTTCGCTGCCTGCTCGCGGGCGGCAAACCCAGGCTTGTCGAGCTGCGCTCGCCGGCCCTTGTCGCGGGAGGATCGGGCTTCCAGGCTTCTTTCTCTCAGGTCGCCACCTCCCGCGACGCGCCCGGGGCGCGCGCTCTTCGTTCGGTTCCCAGTGGGTGCGGCGATTCCCGCGTCCCCCCTTTTCTTGCCCGCCCACGCCACCCTCGCGGCTCTCGCCGGCGCCCTGGCCTGGCGGGAGTCTCGGCACGAGGTCCAGGAGGCTCCAGCCAGGGAGCGCTTTTCCCACGCCCCTTGTTGGCGCAAGGGCGCCGGCTTCGAGCCCGCCTGAAGCTCTGCGAAGGCTCCGCGGAAGGGCCCTGGCCTTCGGTAGCCATTCAAAGCGGGCCGGGCAACCAGAAATGATTTTCCGAGCTGGACGGCCCCGCGGACGCCCTGCCCGTCCCGCGGGCGTCAGATCTCCACGCCTTGCGGGGCGCACGACCTGCGGCGGGCGACCCGCCCGGGTACATTGCGGGTGGCCACCAGCCCTGCGGATGCCCTGCCCGTATTGCGGGCGTCTTACCTCCACGTTTTGCGGGGGCACTCGACCTGCGATGGGCGACCCGTCCTGCGGGCGCCCTGCTTCGCAGGCAACTCCCCGCCTTGCGGTGCACTGCTGGTTGCCGGGATGGCACCTGTCATGCGGGCACCTTGCCTGTCCAGCAAACTCACGTTCTGCAAACTTGCGGGCTAGCGACGCGTCGTGCGGGTGCCCTGCGTCTCGCGGGCCCATCTTGCGGGCGTCGCGCCCCCAGTCCTGCGGGGGCGCTCCTGACCTGCGAAATGGCGAGCTCGACCTGCGAGCGCCTCTCCCCGACTTGCACGGGTACTCCTCGGCCTGCGGAACGGCCAGAACGGCACTTCCCCGTGAGGATGCCTTGCCCGACCTGCGGCGCCTCACCGCCCGCGGCGCTACTCCTCGCCTGGATGGCGGCTCGTCCTGCGGGGTGCCCTGCGACCCGGCTGGCGAGCGCGCCATCCCTGCGGGTGCCTTGCGTGGCGCGCAGGCGCCTCCCCGCCACGTGTGCCAGAGCGAACCTTCCTCAGGGTTGCCGCTGCGGCAGTTGGTGCCCGACATGCGGGCGCCCCTCCCGGCCTGCGGGAACGCATGACAGCAGTTGGTGCCCGACCTGCGGGTGCACCTCCCGTCCTGCGGGACTGCGTGCTTGAAGATGGTGCCCGACCTGCGGGGACACCTCCCGGCCTGCGGGGACGATGGCAGCAGCTGATGCCCGACCTGCGGATGCACCTTCCGCCCTGCATGCCTGAGGATGGCGCCCGACCTGCGGGCGCACCTGCCGACCTGCGGGAATGCGCGACGAGGAGCGGCGGCGAATTGGCGACGAGGAGCGCCGGCAAACAGCCAGAGGAACGGACAAAGGCAAGCGCGGCGACAGGAGCCGCACAGCCACACCTGGGGCAGGCACGGGCCGCCCCTCGAGCACACCTGGGCCCGAACGCGCCACCGCGCCTGGGGCAGCCGCGAAAGCGAACTGGGCACACCTGGGCCGCGGCCGCTGCGAAACGAGCACACCTGGGCCCGAGCGCGCCGCCACGCCCGAGGCAGCTATGCCAGCGAACTGGGCACACCTGCGCCGCGGCCGCTGCGCAACAAGCGCCGAAGTGGCGACGAGGAGCGGCGGCGAAATGGCGACGAGGAGCGCCGGCAGGAAGGGGCAGTGGCGACGGGAGGCGCGCAGCGTTGCCACGCCTGGGGTTGCCACGAAAACGAACAGGGCACACCTGGGCCGCAGCCGCTGCGAAACGAGCACACCTGGGCTCGAACGCCGCCACACCTGGGGCAGCCACGCCAGCGAACTGGGCAGACCTGGGCCGCAGCCGCTGCGCAACAAGCGAAATAGCGACGAGGGGCGGCTGCGAAATGGCGACGAGGAGCGGCGGCGAAATGGCGGCTTTACAAACCGCCCTTGCGGCGCTGCAGGGCTGCCACAAGCCACGGGCGCCAGGGCGTTCCGCCCTGCAGAGCAGCCTCCCTTAGGGCTGTTGCGGCGCTGACACGGGCCACTGGCGCCAGGGCGTTCCGCCCTGCAGAGCAGCCCCCCTCAGGTCTGTTGCGGCGCTGACACGGGCCACTGGCGCCAGGGCGTTCCGCCCTGCAGAGCAGCCTCCCTCAGGGCTGTTGCGGCGCTGCCGCAGGCCACGCGCGCCAGGGCGTTCCGCCCTGCAGAGCAGCCTCCCTCGGGGCTGTTGCGGCGCTGTCACCGAAGTTGACCGCGGGAAGGCAATGGCGACGAGGAGCGGCCGCGAAGCGGCAACGGGGAGCACCAGCAGAGAGCCACGCTGCGCACGCCACCAGCGCCAAGCCAACCAACCGACCAACCAAGGGAGGAAGCGGAAGAGGAGCCACCTGCTGCGAAGCAGCCCTGGGCGAGTGAGACCAACACACGTCGCGGTCAAGCGCATAGCTTACCGAGGCATGGAAGCCAATATGCATAAAGGCAGAGAGGCGCACTCATGTGCGCCCTGAAGATTTTCCTGCCCCCCAAATCGCTACGCGATTTGGGGGCTATAAAATTTTCAGGGCGACGACGTCCGTCTGCATTAGCGTGGGATGAGCGGAAGCCCCCTCGCGTGCTGCCACTTGGCCAAAACAGGCCTTGGCACGCTGAAAATGACTCCCTACTCACTCTGGCCCGGCGGAGGGGGAGGAAGCAGGGAGACCCATGTAGTTCTCCTGGCCGCTGAGCGGTCAAAGGGGTTCGACTGGGATCGGCGTGGCACTGCTGTAGCTTGCATGGTTTCGCCCCAAGGTGACCCGAGTGGCCCCCCTGGCCGCGATGGGCGTCGAAGGGGGGTCGCCGGGATGTGCAGCATCGAGAGCTGTGCGAATTTGCGTCGAGGGAAGGCGGAGCGGAGTGGAGGACTCTCCCCCCCCTTCCTTCCATCGTGCTGGGGCTCAAGCGGCCGACGTGCCGTTGCGACAGCTGGGCGCGATCGGAAAACTGGCTGCTGGACGCAGGTGGGGGTCCTCAAGGTTCCTTCAGGTTTTACCTGCGGCGTGCGAAGTTGAAGTGCCCCTCGTGCAAGGAGAGAAACATGCGCATGTCCATGCATTGGCTCTCCCGGAGTCGTTTGGGCTCAGAGTGATTGATTGCTCTTTGCGTCCACGCTCTCGCCCACCACCTGCTGTATCACTCGGAGTCGCCGCATCATGCCTCTTGAGTCAGGAAAGGTGCAATCTTTGATCGCCAAAGTTCCAGAAGGCAAGTGGCTGAAGTTGTCGAGCAGTGCTGCCATCGAAGAGTGGCCCCACTTCGTGGCGGACGCAAACGAGCCAATCAGCCACGACGAGGTGTTTTGTGCCAGTGTCGCCCGAGTGATGTCCGAACAGATGGGCTCCGCAGCGCCGTCGGACTTCGCGGACCCGCAGATGCGCACTTTCATCATCGAAGGTATCCGCGCAAACACCACACCGTTCCAAGACGACCCTGAAGGATCGGAGTGGAAAGATGTGCGACTCACCCCTGCGCACATCACGGCTGCTCTTAAAGTGCAAGCTCGGGCAGCACGGTCTCAGAGCAACGGCTCGGCTGGCAGCGTTGAGCCTGGCACCGGGACCTCGCCAGAGCACCTGGCGAAGGCGATCGAGGCGCTTGCAAAGGCAACGCAAGAGCGAGACCAGCCCAAGAAGGAATACTTGTCTTTCAACCTGAAACAGCGCCTGGACGAGCTCGGTTTCGGGAATCTCTCTAAAGATATGATGCTCTCGGAGGAGGCTATGATTCGGTTGGAGAAAGCCAGCAAGGTCGCACGGGCCGCCTTTATATTGGGTCGGCAGAGGGAGAGGACCTCCAAGTCTCCTTTCGCCCGCCCTGGTCGCGCACGCCCAAGATCGACGTGACCGTCGGCGACGGCAGCTTCGAGGAAAAGCTGCGCAGCGCGGTGGAGGCGAAGAAAACGAGGAGCTTGGAGGACAGGACCACTTTTGTGGGATTCGCTACGTTCTATGGACATATCCTGGACTGGGGCGTGAAGATGGTCCTCGCGAAGGCCATCACCTCCACGCAGTTGCTCGCGTGCCAGATCGTACTCACCCGGGTGGCAGAAGAATGCGGCGGCTTCAGGGTGTGCACGCGCTACGATCTCTTGCTCAGACAGAAGCTCGCCCGGGAGCTTGAAAGGGGCGAGCGGTCGCAGATAGAGACGCTCCTGTGAACTCTGGACCGGGACGTGCTGGCGGACGCGAAAAGCGCTCAAAAGCGCGTGAAAGAGACCGCGAAGGCGGCCACGAAGACGGGCCAGGCCTCTGGCTCCCAGCCGTCGCGGCCGGCACCCGCTTCCAGCAAGGGAGGCGGCAAGGGACCCCCCAAGGGAGGCAAGCTGCCCGCCCAGCACCCCAAGGGGCGCCGGGTCCACTCTCCTGTGCGTTCGCGCAGCCCCAAGGGGAACGCTGACTGGTACGCCAAGAAGTGGGACAACACCAAGAAGGGCGACAAGAAGTGGTGAGCTGGTTCGCAGAGCGCCAGCGATGCGTCTGGGGATCATCCAGCGGCTCCTCCCCTCGCGCAAGAGACTTGCGAAGATAGTCTCGACGGGTCCGTCGGTTTTGCCACGGATCCCCATCAATTACAAGCTGAAGTGAACAGCTCGTTGCAAGATGTACATAGACTTGCTAACGTGTCGCCAGTAAGCTATTTCAAGTGGGCGTTTGCCCTGCCTCCTTGCTTAGGCGTCTTCCGTGTGCCTGCCAGCGCGCGCAGCTCAGTTCTTCATGAAAGTGGGGACAGGAGCTCTTTACACAGCTTCCGGGCGTCTGCCTTAGCTTTCTGGCGCGAACGCAAGCGAGTGACAGATTTTGAATGGCAGCGGGAGTTCAGAACACTCCCAGCACACGTGCAAGCCTTTCTAGGTCCGGACAAAAACTTGCTTTTGCTGGCAGAGATGCTGGCGGCATCTAATAGCCCAGACGCTCAGTTAGTGGAAAATTTAAGGCGTGGTTTCAAGCTCGTTGGGGAACTTCCCCCGAGCGGCACGCTCCCCGCATGCTCACCTGTGCTCTTGTCGTTAGAGGAACTCTGGCGACGCGCCCCTGCTAACAACGCAGCGCTCTGATTTTGAGAGCGGCTTCTTCTACCCTGTCGGATGAAAAAGCGGCAGCAGCACTGCGGGCGCAGACGGCAGCCGAGGTGGTAGCAGGTAAAGCTAGATGGACGCCGTTGTCGGCGACACACAGCGAGGCGGCGTGTTCTCCACGTTTCGGAGTGGACGAGGGCTGGAAGTTTAAAGGTTCATCTTTTGTGCGCGCTGTCCGCGCCATTGATGATTTTCACGCTTTCAGTGTGAACGAAGCCGCGCAAGTCGAGGAGCGGGTGCGTCACGAGCACCTCGACGCACTAGTAGCAATTGGCCAAGGCATCTGGGAAGCAAGTGCGCCAGATAGAAGCCCAGCAACACTTCGTCTTCGCAAGGATGACGTTGTAGGCGCATACAAGACTTTGCCGATTTGCGCGGACGACCTGCCTTGCGCTGTGGCCGTTACAGAGGACACGGCGCAAACAGGCTTCGCGTTGCAGCTCTTTTCTTGCCGTTTGGGGCTGTTGCAAGCGTGCATGCATGGCACCGCGTCGGTGCTGCGCTCCAACGCGTTCTTGTAGAGCTGCTCCGCATTTTAGACCCGCGTTTTGTCGATGACTTCTTCGGCGTCGACCGCGCGACGCCGGGAGATACTGCCCTCGCAGGGCCGAGTGGTGCTGCATTTCTTGCGCGCGACGTCGTGCAAGAATTGTTGGGTTGGCAGCTGGACGACGCGAAAGCTGTCACCGACGCTTCTGTAGCCGTAATTCTCGGCATCCAGGTTGCCCTGGATGATGCCCGGGAGCTTTTTGTCTTTAGCATTCCCGAGGGAGAGCGCGCGAAGTGGATTGCTGAGATCGATAAGATTCTCGAATTGGGCATGCTGTCGCCGGCGCTGGCAGCAGGGAAACTGAGTTGGGGAGCAACGATGGTGTTTGGCAGGAGCGCAAGAGTGTATCTTGCAGCTCTGTTCTTCCACTCGGCCCGTCGTCTCTCCAAACTCTCTCTGCGCCTGCGCCGGGCTTTCCACTGGTGGCTTCGCTTTTTGCAATCCAAGCCTCGCCGCGAGATACCCTACCTGCCAGCTGCGCGGCCCCGGTTGGTCATTTATACCGACGCAGCGGGCTGCGGAGCACTCGCGTGGGTTCTCGCGCAGGGCAACCAAAAGCAGTTCGCCCGAGCGTGGGTCCCGGGATGGCTTCGCGACAGAGTGAAGCCGCGCCGGCAGCAAATCGGCACGTGGGAGCTCATTGCTGCGGTGTGTGGCCTTTGGCACGCGTGCGCCTTTCTGGAGCCAGGGTTGGAGATTTTGTTATTCGTGGATTCCAACCCAGCGCTAGGGGCATTGCTCAAAGGGACGTCCAGGCAGATCGATTGGAATGCTTTAGTGACGTCCATTTGGTTCGCGGCAGCAGACAGGGGCGACGTCTTGTGCCCCTTCCGTGCGCCGTCTGCTCAGAACCTTGCAGACGCCCCGTCCAGAGCCCATGAAGAGCCAGACAAATTGCGCACTCTGCTCGAGCAAGGGTTCGAGGAGGTGCATTGGCGCTGGCCGGAAGCAAGCGTTTGGGACGAGCTCTGGTGAGGACAGACGCGAGCGCAGGAGGGAAAAAGTTGCACGCAACAGTTGACCGTCGTGGCCTTCTCTTCTGGCTTCGCGGCCGCCTGCCTGTCGCAGCCTGCGCCCTCATTCCGTGGCCGGTTGGGCACAAGCGTTTCTTGATCGCCTTCCAGTTTATCGATGCTTCCCGGCGGCGCCATCTGGAGGCCGCCCGGGGCGCGCAGGTGCCACAGCAGACTCCCGTGCCAACGGAGCTGAAGGCGTGGTTCCAGAGTGTGCTGGCGCGGACGCCAGCTTCGTGCCATCCGGCATCGCCTGACGCAGTCTTGCAGGCGCTGGCCAATTCTGGTGCTGTTCATGGCGGCGACCTCCAAGGCCTCTCAGCAGCAGAGTTGCGAGAAGTGTGGCCGCCTCTCAGAACTCTGTCCGATGACTTCCTGCGTTCCGTGTCGTGGCAGACGGGCGCGCGCGGCTCAAGCGCCGTCGTGCCTAAGCTGAAAAGACACAAGCCAGAGCGCTTTTGTGAGCAAGAACTGCCTCCCGGGAGGCCGGCTGCCAGGGCGGCGGCCGACGAGTTTTCTGCAGCAATGGAAGTATTGGTGCAAGCCAGAACTCAAAGATGTGCGCCTCCCGCTGATGTCCTGGCGCAATCAATTTCTGTCATATGCAGAGCGCCAGCTCCGGGACTGCATGACGGCGCCGCGGCCTCACCTCTGCCATCGGCGAGAGCGCGGTGGCTGGCGCAAATTCCGGCGGATCGTCGCGATGATGTGCTCCGCGGCCGCTTGCTGCTCCAGGAAATGGAAAACTGGCGACAGAGTGGACAAGGCTACGCATCAGCTGTGCGATTGTGGGGCAAGCTGGCAGCGGCAACTGGCGTACCAGAGTGGCCGCCTGATCAGGTGGTGCTCGCAGCACTTGTATTTGCAGCCCCACGGGCGCCCACGCTCTCCCGGTACTGTTCCCATTTGCGGTCCACGCTCAGGCTTATACAGGCGCCTTTGGGGTCGCTGGCTGACACGAGTATGCTAGTCAAAGGCGCCCAGAAGAGCTGCACTTCTGCCCCTCGCTTCAACGCCACTGCGTCTGCGAGGCAGACCCGCGAACTCGCGGGCTACGCCCGGGACGTGTTGCAAGACGCGGAGCTCGCAGACGGTTGGGTCGTGGCCAGACATTTCACATTGAGGTATGGCTGTGAAGTACTTAAACTTGGTGCCGACCCGTCCCGCTCTGAAGTGCGGTGCCACGCCCGTGACAATGTGTCTGAGGTTACCATCGTTTTGCACAGAAGGAAAATGCAAGACAAATCTGTGCATGTGGTGCGGCAGTGCATTTGCAAGTCCGCATCGCCAGACTTGTGCGGGGTCTGCGTCTTGCGTCGACGTTGCGGCCAGGAGCACTATTTCCAGTCCTCCAGTACGACAGGGCTTTCGCAGCATTGAAAACTGCAGCACTATCACTTGGTTTCCCGAGAGGAGCAGAATGGGGCACCCACTGCTTCTGCCGCGGTTGGGCCAACGACGCCCTGCGCCATGGGGGGGTGCCAGTCTTGTTTTATTCAGGCGGCTGGCGTGGCTTAGCTGCGTTCGGCTACGCCGCGGCGCAGACGAAGGGGCAAGTTCTGGCTGCTAAGTGGGCAGCAGAGTTTTCCGAGTCGTCAGACGATGGATCAGGCGTAGAGAGTTGAGGAAAACAACAGCAATATGCTATCGGGCTGGCGCTATTCCGCGCGAGCCCTGCTTATCCCAAGTCCAGGTGGTCCGGGATTTAAAAACGGAGCGATGCTCCAGAACTCACGCGGGGATCCGGGCCCGAGTCGCCTACATTGGGAGTGTTATGGACAGGGCGAGTCGAGCCCTCACCATTGGGGCGCTTCTCTCGGGGCTCTTACTCGCTTGTCGCGCCGGCAGCGTCCAGATTCCTGGCCCACTGCAGGCGCGCCCACTCCACCAGAAGGCGGGCAAGTAGATTTTGATATCCCCTAAACCAAAGGTTTCGATGGGGAGGAAAATCTAAAGCCCCGCCTGACGCAAAACGGTTGGTAGATTCATCAGTTGATGGCTTTAACCGTGTACGTAAATTCGTGGGCAGTCACGGCTTGGGCCCCCGACGGAGCGGCGGATTTCTTCCAAAGCCTGGTTGGCTCCAACTCGGAGCAGCGGTGGTCTTCGACAACTCCGGAGGGGCACCGCCCGGCTCGGGGGCGGGATAGCAAGTTCCCGGCACCGCGGCCGCCGCGGAGCAAGCGCCCTGCGGGGTGCACTCGCTCCACCGGGGGGTCTTTGCAGGCTCCCAGTGGTCCACAAGGTGGGCCAGGTGCTGTTCACAGCGCCCGTGGTGTTGTTTGTCATCGCCTTCGTCGTTGCCCGCCCGCCCGCCCTTATGGCTTGGTGTGGTTTCTGGGGAATGTGGGGCCCGCGCGTGGCGGGGCGCTTCTCTCGGGGCTCTTGCTCGCCTGTCGCGCCGGCAGCGTCCAGATTCCTGGCCCACT